CCGTTGCAATCTTTGCTCCTAACTGTTGATCACCACCCAAGGGACCGCTGTTAAACTTTGTTACGACTACATTGAATTCTTTCTCAATCAATGATCCTGTCGTACCTGTAGCATAGAGTTTGTGCTGAACAAGTATATTACGATGTTTTCTAAGGCACTCGATAAGTTCTGACTTTTTTTCATTATGAGCAGCAAATCCAATTCGTTTATGTACACCCATAATCCTGACACCAGTCGTGTTCTGAAAATTTTCACATTATTAGAGATTTAATTTTTTCTATCATGTACTTAGGAACGTACCTTTTCTATGGTTGTTGCTTCATTTCTAATTGCTTTTCGTTCGATGTTTTGATAATATTCATCAAGATATCGATCTTTTTCTCGATTTGCAATACGATTAATCAACACTGAATTTGATTTGCTAGTGCAAAGTAAATCTGAATCTAAACAGATGCTTGGATGACATATAAGAGAAAATCTTGAAATGCATACTCTTTGGGTCGAAATAGTCAGCGAAGGCTTGCTGAAACAAAAGAAAAAGGTTATATTTCTTGGTAAGTATAATCATCATTGTTGTTCACTTGTACGTTACTTATGTTTCATAGAAAATTGGATTCATGGAATATATTCCGATAGGACGCGGTACATAAGAGATGATCGATACGTTCCATTCTGTATTATGAAGGAACAAGCACATATGAAATATTTGTGAGACTTCTCTTCAAAGTAGTGACCTATGTTACTTCGAACAAAGAACGAGTGAAAGGAGGAAATGTCATTACGAACGCTTCTACCGTTCATATCAAATAAATGGTAAAGCCAATCATTGCTCACAATGATATGCGTGTCCGTGTGGTGGTTTTTGTCATAAATTCATATAATCGAACTGATGCTCATATCTTAAAACCAACGGAAATTTACATGAATTACACCACGGCCGCAGTATCCACGCCTCCGGAAAGAGAGATTACATTTGATTTACTGACGGGGTCACGAAACAAAACACGTCCGCGACACTAATGTGAAAACGCTCCATACTTCTTGAAAATTCAGTTAAAAGTCCGTATGGTTACTAGCACATCAACTGATAATGTCGTTTACTACAGCATCCGCTACAAAAATATAAGTTTATCAAACTTCTAGATTAACTCTTTCAGAACCAATTTTTAATGGCAAAAAAAATTGGTTCTTTTTATCAGTTTGTTGAATCCGACTCAAAACGCTCCGATAAAAACTTTATAGTATTGAAAGAAACAATTTTTCTCGGATGTTACGAGAAAAAGTAGTTTCTAAGTAGACTATTCGATGTTTGAACGAACTTGTACTTCTATTGCGCTACAGTGAGCATATCTCTTTCGTGTTCCATTAACAGGCAAATGTGTTCCACCATCCAACTGAAAAGCAGATTATGACGATGCTCATCTACACTTCTGGTGCAAAGGAGATCTTCTAAGATTTATTTGCTCAGCGCCAAAACAGAGAGACTTAGCCACCGAAATCAAATAATTCAAGTATGATAATTCACTCTGACCTAATTGCCTGTAGCAGATAAATGAGTTAGCTATAAATAACAGGTGTCCCAGGAAAAATGGACTTCTCAGTATTTTTAAGATTTTTCCTCTATCATCCTTGTAATTAAAGCCCTTTTTTATTATCAAAAGATAGCACTTGAAATTCTCTACAAAACTATATGTGACTAGGACTAAAAACTGTCTTTGATATATTTGCAAAAAGACGAAAACTAAAGACATACAAACAATTGTGAAATGTAAATATGTCATCAATAATAAACGGCTGCACTTTGTATTTCATATTGCAATCTCTAAATGCGTTTTATTAAAAAGCAAAATATACCATAAAATGCAGCATGAAAAGCTTTACAATCTACAAACTAAAGTTTACTTTAATTGCATACTTTTTGTTTTCAAAAAAAAGGCAAAACTCTGTGTGAAACTGATCTTTGTAAATTATAGAGCTATTCACGCTGTATCTTGTGGTATATTCTGTTTTTTAAATAAAACGTATTTAGAGATTAAAATATGAAATGCAAAGTGCGACCACTTATTATGGGACATCCGTTATTTACATTTTACAGCTGCTTGTATGTCTTTAGTTTTTATCTTTTTTCAAATATATCAAAGACAGTTTTTGAGCCTAGTCATATATGGTTTGGTTGAAAATTTCAAGCGCTACCTTTTGATAATAAGAAAGGCTTTAATTACAGGAAAAATAGAGGAGAAATCTTAAAGATACTGAGAGGTCCATTTTCCTGGGATACCAGTTAGCTTCAATTTATTTTCTTCTGTCAATCCATCGATATCTGTTTAATGTTATGATGAAAAACATTTCGGCACATTCCATTATCTAACTCTGCATGTCCTATATAGGCTATCCCTTGATGACTCGTTGAGATATTTGATCAACACATATTGATAAACTAAAATTTACAATAGAAAAGTGCTAAGTCAATGAATTACTAACCTGTAAATTCCATCCATTTCGAATTAGAAATTTATTCGAATCATCAACATTGCAAAGGGTTAGAAACTAGTACAGATTAGATGATATAATGCAAATGAGTTCTACACAAGTTTGGAACTTTACTTGAAAGAGAAGAAGAGTTGCTTCATGTGATGGTAACATTGATCTATTGTTTATAACTGGTGCACAAATAGAATAAACTAGAACAAAAAAGAAACAAGATGAGAATATTTTTTCATATGTGACAACATCAGTCAAAGAAACATTAGTAGCGACATTCCATTATAGGCCTCCAACAAATTAAGGTTTTGAAAATCAACCATCAACTACAACGAGAGGAAATTTTCAATGAAAAAGTATATATACATGTGTACACCGTAGAAAAACTTGAAAACGAGGTCAATCTCCCAATTTTGAACAAACTTCTAAAACTACGAAAAATTTTTTCGTTATTTCTAAAAAAAACGGTATTATCATGGAAGAATTGTCCTGTATGCGGAAATTTGAAAGTTACTGTGTAAGTAAATCATTACAATTAGAGTAATCATTATTGGTATTCGATATTCTAATATGACTCTTTTCATCATGTAAAATAGTTATCATATATGTACCTGAAGTTAAAATAGTGAATATCTTATGAAGACCTTAAAGCCATGGAAAAAGAATGATGAATTGATCGAGCGTTATTCAATGCTCAACTGATATAATAATGATTTCATTGCTCTAGTGAAAGTATTTAACCAACGAGTACTCATGATTCAATCGTTTTACTGAATTAAATCGTAGTGATTAAATACAAGTATAAATTATGAAAATTTTAGAAATTAGGATTTTATATGATACTTATATCTATACATTGGGTGTTATGATAGACTTTCCACATAAAAAAATAAAGAAAATCTAAGAATACTACACTACGATTTACAGATAGATGATAAACAATTTATTCATGTGAAGAAAATATTTGAAAACAGAAATACACAATCTAGGACAATAAAAAAGAAAATAGAATATTTTAAGATCACATGAGTTTTTTTATATACACAACTAAAAAAATGAGTAAGTTCAGTGACTAAAGGATGAGTTATTAGACGTCTTATTTCATTAATTTTCTCCGTCAATCTGAAATATGTATATATTGAGTTAAAATAGTATCCCACACGTATCTAAAATTTAGAAAATGAAATCGAAGAAATTGTTTTATTTTTATCTTTTAACTGTAGCCATTTATTAAAATGGTATGAATGACTCACACATGAAGAATGAAGGATCAAATCTATAATTCTCTAAAAATTCTCGTTTTTATTTCTGCTATGATTGCATAATTTCTCTTTTTCTGTTTTTTATTAAACTTTATTTCACTATTATTTATTCTAGTATATAGGAGTCCTGTTATATGCACTGCTCTAAAATGAGAATCAGTACTATATCGAGTACTCAAGCGACTAATTTGAGTACTTATGCTGATAAGTCGTATTTACTTGATAAGTAGTTTCACTAGCCCAAGATAACAATAAAATCAGCAGTAGAAAAAAAAGAAGATGCAAATGAAATAGACTTCTTTAGTTATAGTGCTCTATTTACTTAGACCCTCAAAAATGTCTCGTTCTATCTAGTTGTTACAAAAAGTTTCGATTTCTCTCATTGCCAATCATATAATGTTGATCTTTAACTATGGTGATACAAATTGCGAGAAAAAAAAATTAATCATGATACGAGAGAAAAGGTCGATTCAGTCTCGCTTAATAGAGTCTGCACTTTAGAAGCTGCCATCAGCAAATAAAAGAAACACGTTTCTCGTAGAAAAATGTTCAAATCAGTAGGTTTTTGTGTTAGATGCCGTGATTTTGTCTTCCTCGCTTTCTTTCGATTCGATTAAAAACTAATCGAATTCTTGCTAAAGAAAACTTTTTCAAAAACTGATGTTTCTCAAAATAAAACTGACAACGTAATATATTAATCAAGCATGAATGGATAAAAAGGCCAACAAGAAAAAATATCAATAATAATGACGGCAAGTAGTCATCATGTTCCAACCTTTTAAAAATCCTTTATTGCCTTGGCTCATATTAGTGCTGACGTTCACCTATTTAATTACGATACCTATATCTATACCTCTATGTACAAAGAGTGAAACACCTTAGATTTAATGATTACTAACTTGATTTCCATTGATATCTCTATATTACTGCTTTCTCAATTCATTTCTAAATTAGAGTGCAATATCAACAAACTAAATTATATGTACGTGTGAAAGTTAAGATCTATATCGTAATATATAGAATCTTGATTTATCAGGTGCTAAAATTAACGATGAAAGTATTTGCATCATGTATAGGAGCTCATGATTCTTGCATGTCTTCCATCCTCACTTGTATTTTGAAGTATTGAGAATCTTCATGACAACGTACTTTTAGCATCCTCAACAGAACTTAATTCATTGAAGTTTTTACTTGATTATTACGATGATCAATGGATTAAATTCAGATTAACACGAACAATTATGCAGACGTGCAGTTTTAGTTAATATTCCAACAACCATCATGATTCATGTATATTTTTAGGATTTCAAAATTGTATGAATTTACGTACAACAGAATATCATTCGATGTGTACAAGGAGAAGAAAACAAGTTTAACAATATCCTGATTCAAATTGTATGTGATCTAGAAGTTAAATCGAAAACGGCGGCAAAAAACGCCACATAACAATATATTGATACGTTATATTTACGTTGTCAAAATAACAATATTACTGTTGATAAACTCTGAAAAGAATTCGTTCTATGTAGTCGCGAAAAAAACTACATCGTAAAGAAAAACATGATTCATAACTTTCATCTGTAATTTGGATATTTCGTTAATTTATTTATCTTTCTTTCTGTCTGACTCCATCATACCTTAGTAAATAGATTGTGTTTATATAAATTACACAAACCTAGAATAAAGTAACGAATAAGAAGAAAATTAATTTTTTTGAAACTCTATTTTTTAATCGAAGATACATATAGAACTAAATAAACGAAAAAAAAAGTAAAGAAACTAACTACAAGATCCAGCTAGCTTCAAAAATATCTTCTGTGATGTACTGCTGTATTCAAAATCCCTTGATAACATTCTCATTGACAATATAGCTGATAACAACACACAATAAGAAAAGATTGCTGAAGACATGTAACTTTCAAACATTCACAAACATCATTACGTACCGCCGCCTTTGCCTTACCAACAACACTAAATAGAACTACACGCGGTAGTTAAACATAAGTACTTTACCTGTATTGAAATCAGGATGGTTAAATTGATGTTTATCGTTTCGAATGAAATATATACTTATGTCATTCAACTCCTTTTATAACGAAAATAGACTCATGTGTATTTATTTAGTTGTCGAGGAATGTTTGCCTACGGCTTATCAAAAATTCTCAATAAAAAAAAAAGAGATTTGCATCATAATGATACTGTTAAAACTAATTAGCATAACGGCAATACAATAGTGTGAATCAGAAGAAGCCATGCATGAAATATTAGTATAACAAATATTGAAGGAGAAAAAGTCAATGAAACATCAAAAGAAAACATCTGCAATGGTAAAAATATTGAAGGTGTATGCATACAATGTTTCAATTATTCAAACAGAAATAATTTTATTGATATGTGAAAGACCTTGGACAGGGGTAATTTTGTAGGTAATCGATCGAATAAAAATGAAATACAAGATGAATCATAGTGCATATTAGCGATAGTAGTTTATTTGGATTGTTTTCTTACAAGTGATCATCAAACATCTCATCATTCTTGAGAATCAATCTTATTATAGAGAGCAAAACATTTTATGTTTACTAAGACCGTTAGGCAATACTTTTTCACATATACATTGCCTCATTTTGCATGGATATTTGCCTTTCTTTTCCTTGCTACCCATGTCATATCAACAATTATTACAGGATGTGGGTGTGAGTGTGAGTATGGACGACGGGAATGGTTGTATGTATGAGTGAGGGTTCAGGTCTTTTCTTTAATCACACCTACGTCAATCCCACATCCACCTATTTTAATTTTATTATCAAAACCTCGAGATTTCAATGGGATAGAAAACGTCAAACTAATTGCATAACACAGACATCTACATCAGTCGACTTACTTTTTGATACTGATTAAGAATATTATATATTTATTACATGAAATTTGAGTTTTGCTTGAGAAAATCGAGAATCACAAGCAAAACGTTGACTTTTTCGCCTGGTGTTAAGAAAAAATAAATTTTCTCAACAATACAAAATAATTTTCAAAAAAAAGCGATGCATATTTTTGTTGTCCATCAAGTGATGATTAGAATGGCAACGAAAAAGCATAGATGGTTGCGAAAATTTGCTACTATTATTGACGGAGACTATATCGTGAATGTTTTTGCAATGGGCATACTATAGAGGATCAATTTCTGAACAATATTTCTAGACTCGATTTCATTGTGAGGAATTCGAAAATCATATTGGAGTAAAGAAGAACTGGAATAGTAAAGAGTTTAAAACTGCTTTTCTAGAAGAAAGCCGTTTTTTTTGAACACTTTGATATTGGGTTGGCCAGAAAGTTTTTGAGGTTTTTCTTTAATTTTCCTAGAACAGTCAAGAAAGCTCCAGAAGTTTCCATACTGAGGGTATATAAAGGGGGTACGAATTTCTTTTGAACAATAATAAAATCATGGATATGGACGTTGATCTCGAATTAGAATTCAAGATATCTCGTAGAGACCTCCGGGTGCTTTTGCTTCATGAATTTCGTTTGGGTCACAAAGCAACAGAAGCAACCAGCAACGTATGCAGCACGATGAGCAAGGATGTACTCTCCATTCGTACAGCACAACATTGGTTCAATCGGTTCAAGAACGGTAATTTAGAACTCGACGAGGGTGTGGGTGTAGATCAAGAGAAGAACTACACCCCACACCCACCCACACCCACACCCATCCACACCCACACTACCCACACTCACACCCTCACTATCAGAGTGTCTGGAATAACTATGTCAATGATATCACAAATGTCCTCTATAAACACCATGAAAATCAATCTTTGTTTGCATCTACTAAAGATAAATTATCTTACATACGTCATGAAATGACAGTCACATCTCGCCAACTCAATGGAGATCGTCGAACACAATTGTTTTTGTTTCTCTGTGAGAATTATCTTCTACCGGATTATACTACTCCAAATTCAACTATTTCATTGGTGGGGGCCGATCTCAGTAATATGCAGCCCCCGCGCGAGCGGGGGGGGGGGGTGAGGGGGTGTGCACCTCCCCAAAAACCAAGATTTTTTTGTTTTTTCCAGCAAAAAAAGCAAATTTTGGCTATTTTTTACTTTTTTCTTAGAGATTTGTGTTGAAAATATTCCTCTTCCCCCCCCCCCCCCCCCAACCGCCAAACACCCCCCCAAAGTCTGACCCTTCGCGCGGGGCCTGGTAATATGTATTTTCATAGATCAACCTTTCAGTCTGTCGTATTTAAAAATATGAAAATAAATTCTGTTACTCTGATCAATTCAACATTTATTATTTGTGGATTTACGAATGATGGATTTGAAGATTCATCTATGAATAATAGCAGCTTCATTCAATCACAGCTTTTGGGTAATAACACTGATGATCGCGGTCGTTATGACTTTTCTCGTATTTCACCAGATTACTCAGATTTTCGACAAACTCACATGTTACTTACTAAATTTTCAAGCGCAAATCTCTTTCATTCAAATTTTGATGATATCATATTAAACGATGTAATATTTGATGATCAAACTTCATTGGCCTATTCAAATTTCCGAAAAGCATCTCTAACGAATGTTCATTTCTTGCATGTAAATTTATCATATTCAAATTTTTGTGATGCACATCTGGAACATGTGAATTTTACATCAAGCACAAATCTTGTCTATTCTGATCTTTCACGTACCCGACTAGAAAATATTGACATTGTTAATGCTAATCTTACTGGTTCTAATATCAATATCACTGAGAAAGATGTTACTTTGTCTAATGTGGTTCTACCAAATAAAGCATGGATGATTGATACTTCAGATTTGGTGAAAGACGATGGTGGTGAAAGTAATGTAAGTGATGTACTATGCTTCACCCTCCTCTATTCGGCCAGGAGTCGTCGAAACTGAAAGAGCTATATGTGCGTAAGTCGACAAAGATTCAACCACATGATACAAAAGTAATTATACATGCCTTCAGACACAGATCTCTCGATGTAGTTCCAAAGGCTGAGTCTAATGACAAAAACTCGAGTTCTGTATCTTTTTCGAAAACAAGGGTTCTACATCCAGCGAAAAAAAGCTATTTTCTTCATTTTCTAGTAACAAATAGCCTATATGTAAAGCTATCTGTATCTACAGTATGTGTTGTGGAACATTCGTTTTGTTTCCCAATGGATGAGCAAGCTATCGATTGATGTAAGTTGTAAAGAGTTATGTGATCGCCAAAGTCATCAGAATTTTCTATAAAACCTTGCTTTTCCAGAGATCGTTTTGACGTAGTATTGAGAATGAACATGATCTTTCTGAATTTAGATATTTAGAACTTGCTTTCTCCTCTTGTTTGAAATTAAAATGAAGGCTCTACGGCACATTCTCTACCTATATGGAGCTCTGCAGTATAGACAGTTTTCACGAGAAAATGAGGAAAAAAAGCCGTTTCTTGCTCGGTGTAGAACTTTCTTTTCGAAAAAAATATAGAGCTTAGGTTTTCTCTATTGGATTCAACTTTCAAAACGGCATATGGGGATGTGTGCCTTGGGGTTGATTTGCTAGCTCAGGTTTCTTTCGTATTACTGCTTTTTAGGTAAAACTTGGTAGCAACGGCATCTAGAAAGAGTTTCATATCCTGAGAATATCAGATTTTGAAGCGGCTTAAGACGTATTTTAGCATTGAAGAAAAAATTATCCATCGTATTCCATCATTAACAACATTTTATTTTGTTTGGTGTTTGTCATCGAACAAGCCCATCTCTGTATGAACTAACACTGCAGTAGGTGAGGGTGAAAATGATTTGGCTTTACATAATGAAACACCAAGGTTAGGGAAATGCTATTTTATATCACAAGTACCTGAACGAGATTCAGCAATCCAACAATGGATTCATGTTGCTAATTATCTATTATTTATTGACAGTGGTGAAACACAATTCAATTTATCGCCGTACTTCGGTGGTAGAGATGAATGTAAAAATGGAACTGTACAAATTTCTGCAATGTTCTTTAAAAATGACTCTATAGAAATTTTGCATCTACTGTCAAATTCATGTAAGTAGAGTAAAAGCGAAACAGCACAGGTTCGGATTATCTTTAATTGATCTATTTCCATTTTCAGATATCAAGACAGAAAATAACCTTACAGAATGGTATTATGATGAAGTTATTGGAACTGTTCCAGAATTTATCAGTTTTTATATTTTGCGTACAGAATTTAATGCAAACTCAAATACCTGTTACTATGATAATATTAGTTTAAGGATCAGCAGAAGTTAAAACTAGATCAAAATAAATTCATGGAAGGACTTGTAACATTTTACAGTGATCAAAAATGAGTGACTTTCTTGTTGTTTTTCAATTTGCTTCCAATTTTCTATTTTTCTCTTACGAGAGAATATGCTAAAGTATTAATCGCAGGGACGTATTGGGTGTGGGTATTGGTGGTGGATAATAGGTGTAGGTCTGAGTGTAGATGTTATTCTATTCTTCAACAAGACATACATACACCCACACCCTCTTACACCTTACAATTGAACAAGTTCGCCCAAGCAGCTCACATATCCATGTAGTAAATGAAATTCGTCACAAACTTCATAAAAAAAAGAATTCCATCACATATTCAATTCACCATTACCCACTCAAATTTTGAAAAAAATATCACCCAAAACCCTAGCTTTATACACACTCAATACGAGAGTTGTGATTCAACATTTAAGTTGAATTATTTCTGTATTTAGTATTTGATTCAAAAACAAATTTTTGGATCATCTATACACATACGTGCCACTTCACAAGTTAGGCAGCAAAATGCAATACTAAATTTTAGTATTGTGGTAGCTTTACACATCCACACCCACCCTTTTATCGTATCTCATGATGGCCATCTACCACAACATTAGGATGGATATGTATAACGAGTAGAGATTTGTACTAGTCATGGACAAGCATTTTTTAAGACAAAAATCGGTCAGGAGATGATGACATCATCGGAAAATAGACTAGTTATTCAGTCCATCTTCTGCTTACTTGGGTGCTGGATATTGTGATGACAGCTTTCGAAAAAAGATTATTAAGAGTAATATTTGAAGTTTATTTGTAAAATAAAAAATAAGAGAGAATGTGGAATGAAGTAAAAAAAGACGAATGAGAAAAAAAAACTATGAAGTACTTTCAATCATCTTTTAAATTATTTATAGTAGATATTTAGTTGTTGAAAAAAAAGAAAGTGAGTGTAGATGCTGCCATCGCAAGTAGAACATTTGCTGATTTTATCGAAGATCCATTGCAAAGATCTGTTTGACAACAATAGGCAGTGTGTCCATCAGTACCAGTGCCCGAAGTGCTAGCCGCCACAGTCACAACTGCACCCGTACAGTATGAACTTGGATCTACTCCGCGACCAATTGTGTTTGGGTTGCTAGTGTGCACATATTTCTAGGAAAATGAACACTCATTGTTTGCAATATTATCTGAAAACTACGTACAGAACAATAGGTAATTGACGTTCCTGTGACTTGGGTAACACCAGCGCCCTTCGAATTGAATGATGGGTTACAACCTTCAGTACCACCGTTGCAAACGTAGCAAGTGAGACCGAATGTATTGTGTTGGACAACTAAACATTCATACTTCCAAATTAAAATTTAACAATGAGAAAATTTCTATTCACCCATCAAAATGACAACAATGAGAAGAAAACTAGTGCTTGCAATCATGGCTTTTGCAGTTGTCTATGAAGTCAAATATGTGCT